GGTCTTTCATTTTACAGTTGCCAAACCAGGATGTAACATTGTAAGTGCAAACGCATAGCACACCTATAAAAAGCGGTTAAGGCTGATGTAGGGAGGCCTGCCCTCTTCAGTTTCCGAAGCAGGTAAAGTCATTGCTGGGCTTTTTTCACAACTGCTGCTGTGCTGGCTGATGATGTCAGGTCCTCATCCAGGATCACCCCCAAGAACCTGATATCTATAACACTTTCCATGATGTCACCATCAGTGGTAAGAGAGTGATGTTGCTGCCGAGGTCCCTTTCTGAAGTTGACCGCTAGCTCCTTCATTTTGTCAACATTAAGGGCGAGACTGTGATGTTCACACCAAGTGATCAGCTACTCCACATCCTGCCTGTATAGTGCCTCATCATCATTTCTAATAAGCCCTACTACCACAGTATCATCTGCAAACTCGATGATCGAATTTGAGCTGTCATGTGTTAGCAGAGTAAACAACAGACTTAAGACAGCACTGTGGAGAGCCTGTGTACACTGACAAGGGCTTGGACACATAGCTGCCAGTGCTGACTGTCTGTTGTCTGTTAATTAGAAAGGCTAAGACCCAGTAGCAAATGTGTGAGCATTTTCTCTGTCAACTGCTGGGGGATAACAGCGTTAAATGCAGAGCTGAAATCCATAAAAAGAACTCTGGCATAGGTGTACTTATCCTCCAGGTGGGTCGAAATGAGGTGGAGTAGTGTAGAAACTGCATCATCATTGGATCTGTTGGGTTTTTATGTAAACTGAAATGGGTCAAGACCAGCAGGCAGGCAGGTTTTTATGTGCTTCATCATGAGTCGCTCAAAACATTTGGTCACAATAGGTGTAAGAGCCACTGGGGGAAAGGCATTCATCCCAGCAGAGATTGTTTTCTTCAGGATCGGGTTTATGACAGTGCTTTTGAGGCAGGTGGGTGCTAAAGTTACATGTCACAGGCAAAACAGTCAGGTGCATAGTCCTGCTATTATACTGTAAGTATGATAAAGAAGAAAGTAAAATCTGATTCTTATTTTGGTCTAACATAACACCGCCTGGCTTTTTAATTTACATTCCTGTTCATATCTTCACTATGATTTCACTTTTACCATTACAAGAGAAATGGCTATTTATGGTGAGGATTAGCCAGTGTGTTTGTCAGACTTAAAACTATTTCTGGTAATGCTGACTGTGGTTTCTGAAGTGTAAACTGTCCTAAATAGCTGGACAGGGCCTTGACGTTACCCTACACTCCGATAAAGTAGCAACCAGGACCAGTTCTTGGACATGTTAACAATTGCATCTTCTGTTACGAACAGACACCATTTTAAATGCAGTCCTTTCACATTTGCTCTTGTGTGTTCAGTTATAGAAAGTCTTTTAAAAAAAAAACACCACCTCCAAATACTTTAATCACTCTTACTACACCTGCAGAGACATCCTGTCAGGGCCACTTGGCGGCCGCTGCCTCTCCTCCGTCTTTCGCTCCTCTGCTCTCTCTATTCTGTGGGCTCTGCACCTCAGCTGTGTTGCATCCCATATCATACTGGTTTGTCGATGCACACAGCTGGGGTGCATCCCGATGATTGCCTTCTCCTCCTTATATAAACCTCTGGCAGACGCTCCGTCTTGGCCGGAACATTAACATAGTAACGCGGACTGTACATGTTGGTAGAATGCTACGCTGACAGACACTGTGCGTTTTGGCTTGACTCTACCACACTACCTACGCGCTACGCTCATTTACACTACACTACATATCATACATATCCAAGTACCGTACTTTCCCATGTTATGTTCTTTTGATACTTTGTGTTCTCTTTCTTTACCTGCTACCGTCATGTTTTTCCCCCTAGCACCTGGGTCTGCAAACTTGAGCCCAACCTCAGTTCTCCCTCACCCTCCTGGTGAGGGGGGCTACCGTAACACATCCAAAGTTTGACAGTCCTGCTTCACCTAGGTACCACTGCTATGCTATCATTGGATGAGCATTGTTCAGGGGAGGGGTTAACCAAACTCTTGACTCGTGATGAATTAGCCTGTTAAAGTTTGTGCACATTTCACTCCACTATTAATTTTGTAACTGTATCTGTGAAAAAGTGAGCAACGCTTTTCAAATCACTCCAAGGGAACACCCAAACACAGGATAATACAGGCCAAAGCTTTATGTTTCATCCATGGCCTGTATCAGTTTCAGGTTTTTCTCCACTTGATAATCCCTTGCCACTTCCAAGTGTAAACAGCTGACCAGATGTTCTCACTTTCTTCCTAGCAGCACCAACACTTCAATATCAAACAGACTTCATTAAGTTAGATAGAACACTTGGCCATCCCTGGAAACCATGTACTGTATCTCCCGGTTTGGTGATTTTAAAATAAGTTGAAGGATTACACGCTACTTTGAGATCTGAGAAAATTAAACTTCTTCTTAAGTTTTGCAAAACCCTCTGAAACCCCTGTGGATTATCTCAGAAATGTATTGCCACTAATCTTGAACAAGACTGTTTGCACATCTTTTTGTTCTGACATTTTGGACATACACAGTTCTTACTGGGAAGTGCTTTTGTACTACCTCGTGTACTACACCATTTAAATGATTTTACATTTTAGGAAAAATAAAATAAAACTTCTTCTTACATCTTTGTTTATGTGGACATGAAGCTGACAAAACAGACACATTTAGTCAGCATTTCTATTCTTATATAATTGGGCCAGATTAGAAAAAAATAAGGCTTTTGGTTTTCAAAATAAAGCTGTATAATGTCAATTTGGGGGATATTTTCCAAATGCAGTCTTAATACACTAAGAAGTACTGCTGTTTTTTTTTTTTTTTACTGATGAGGACTCAGTTTAGTTAAGACATCATCTGTCCACCAGTAACATTAACATCTCACAAATATGTTTCCACAGTTTTTCCTTAAACATCAAACCAGCACTTGGCACTTGCTTTACTGGCTTTTATATTGAGTTAATCGACAAACCTTTTGCAAACTCAGTGACACAACCAGGGTAACACACTGTGGTACCATTCAGCTACTCCTTTAATCAATAATTATGTGTTCATTATATTCATCACATGTAAAACAACCCATATATCCACACATTTGTTAAATGTAACTAGAATTTGACATCTTGCTGAAATCAAGTTTATCTGTTATGTGTGCTAGGTAAACACAGTGTGCCACGTATAAACATCTGTCTCTGCCCCTGGCCAAAAACAAAAACCAACAACAGCATCCAAAACTGTCAATACCATATGGTGGGTATTGCATTTCCTTGGAAATGTAATTCGATCAGTTGCAAAAAATGAACAGTAATTAAGCCAAATTGTACTGTGTAGCATACTTATCATTACAGCTGCTCATTTCTAATCCTCTCTGGTCTTAATAAAATCCTTATTTACTGTGGGAGACTTGCTGCTGCGTGAAATGTGTGCTGTGAAGTTTGTTTAGAAGCCCAGAAATATTTAGGGACTCTGTCCTTTTGGCTCACAAACACTTTTGATTTGTTATGGTTCTCTAAAAACCAGCACTGGTTGTTACATGCTGGAGCAGACAGGAAAGATGCAACTTGCATGTGCGCTGCTGGCAACGGACACACTGTGCTTATCCTTCTTATAAGGAGGAACAAAAGTGCAATGAGTGCAGACAATGATGACTAATGAGAATAGGAAGTTAAAGCCATCAGGGTGTAAAGTGATATTTCTGGTCACTTTCACTCCTGACATCTGGCATTTATGTGGTCTGAGTCACTAAAACTACATGTGATTTTTTTTTTTTTATCTTGTACTAACATTTCATTTAACCACTAAGATGCACAGTTTTGGTTGCCACCAATTTGCAGGCATATCTAAGACAAATATTGACCTGGCCTTTAGTGAGGTGTCTGTTTACAGACCCTGAAATTTCAGCTATTCAAATATAAAGACATCATTTGTGAAAGATGTAAAAACAGCACTGAAGTAACAGTCAAAACACTGCCATGTCATTAAAAACTAAGAATTCTTTGACTTTAACTTCAGGGCCAAAAGAAAGCTCTGTTCAAGCAAAGCAAGGGGCACTAAGAAACAATCTTCCTGCTACTTCATCACTTTCTGTACTTTCATCTGCTTCACATGGCACACTTTCCAGACTCCCCACTTTTATATCATTTGTCCAAGTGGACAGAAAACAGCACCCTCACATTTGGATCTAATTTTCATAAGTTGACCAGATGCAAGAACTGTCCACATGAACCATAATGCAGGAAGATGCTCAAAATGTATTCATACAAAAAATATTCATGTGGACAGCTGAGTGGGCTACAGACGAAAACCAAACCTCAAATAAGAAAATGTGGCAGTGTTAGTCACTGTTTTAAGGTTTTGTAAATAAGAAAAAGGTTGTTAAATGCATCAAATGTACTTTTACTGGTACTGGTTCAGGGTGACACCATATCTCAGTTTAAACTCTGCCTACAAACAGGTCAAACACTGCCTAAAGTAATCAAGACAAAACATGCTCGCATTAGGCTCACGAAATAATCCAAAACATTGCAATAAAAAAAAAGAATTACATGCACTTAAGACAGCAGACTAGGGATTACAGTATGCCAGTAAATTGCACAATCTACAGTACATCCCGTCCCTGCATCATCATCATCATCATCGGTGTGGTGCAAAGTTGGATCATCGCATTTGGCAATCATGCGTATTTGCGCGATTCACTAACTGACCAACAAATCACAACTTTTCCGCAACACACACGCTAAGGTACGTGTTTATCAATAACTGTCCCGCACACAGAGACTGAAGTTCAACTTTACCGGAGCCCCTAGCTGTTTCCAGGTCACAGGCTGATCAGCGAGACTGTGAGAAAGTTTCTCCCACACTGTATCAAATTCTCTGTGCCTTTGTCAGCTGAGATTTCTGTGAGAATTCTGTAAATTCGGGACAAACTAAGAGGAAAACGAAAGTCTGCTTAACATTACACCCCAGCCACGTACGTGCTGTAATACACCCTGGCATACCTTTCTTTTCCGCAAGAACACAAGAGCCAAAGCAGAGCAGAGAGGTGAGAATGATCCACTTCAGAAAATAGGTTGCCATCGTGTTTATGAAGTTCTTGGTGAGATGGTGTCATTCCATGCCAGCAACGCGCGATATTCCGCTTTATCAAAACTTGGAAACCTCTGGCTTTTTCCTTGTTATGCAAAGGAGTTTTCCTCCCTGGTAAACTCAAACTTTGACAGCTCCTCCTCCCAGCAGATATCTCCACAAGTCCGGACTCAGGCACCCTGGACAAACTACTGGCTGCTCTGACGTCAGCAAATGGGAGGACATGCTCGCTTCTCCGAGGCGCAGGTAGAGGCACAGAGGGTGACTTAAGAGGAGACGTAGATCATCCTGTTACTAACTCTGTTTCGGGAAATGATTTGTAGTATGGCAAATGACATGTAATTTTGTTCTGAAGTGGCTTCAATATGCAAAAAAACACGGGCGAAGATATTTAATTTGCTGTCATTCCCAAACCAGTTGCTCTCACTCATACAGCAACCGAATAAAATTCATAGCCTATAAAGGTGAAGAAGATAAGGAAACTTCAAACAACCCAAATACACACTTCATCCAACTTTTTTTTTATCTTCACAGAGATCTTTTTAATTATAATATATAGCTATAACAAGAAATAATAAATATGATAGCTGATTAGGCATTTTCACATAAATAAAGGGGCTGATCTAGAAAGGGTGGCCAGGCTGGGGCACAGAGGGGTGGCACATTTGAAATGCATGTAAAAGGTCAATTAAACCCCGAGTTCTATGAAATAATAAACCATACGTTTTTATGAATCTGTTTATTTTGTGTAAAAATGAGACAAACATAGTGCTTTCTTTAACTAACTTTGGCTGTGCTCCTTATTTACTCCTGGCTGGGGACATTGCTGCAGTGTATAGCTCTAGATACTTCTGAAGAGTTTTAGGATGAACCACAAATGATGAGTGTATTATTTTAAAGAGTTATAAAGTCAGACAAAATGTGTTACTGCCTTTCTTACTCTTCCTGCTTTAAACGGAGCTGCAATTTTAAATTGTCCTTGGCATAAATCTCCATTTATGTGCTTAAAGGGAATGATGCTTCTGATATGATTTTGCCCCTTGGGCATGTTTATAAAATCATCAAAACTGTAATAAAACAGGTTTTATTTCATTTGCAGTAACTAACCTAAAACGGAATATGCACACAATTAATATTATGTATTCCACCTGTATTTTTTCTACTTCGTTGGTGTTATTCAGATGCTCTGTGATGATAAGTGATCAGTTCTTGCCCAAGCGCTGAAGAAACAGCCTCAAAAAAGCCAAAAAGACCACAAATTAACTGAGATGAAGCTTGATGCATAATACACACCATCCACATTATCAGAAGCTGTGACTATATCACTTACCTACACACAAAATGATAATGAGATAAAAGTGCTATTTTAGTTGAACACCTACATATAGAAACTGGAGAAAAGCTTAATGGTGACTCAAGAAAACATAACTTCTAGATGTCTGACCCACTTAAAACAAGGCCAACATCCTACAATCACCTCTGGGGTGTGTGTGTGAGAATAACAGTCCTTGGCAACAGTGTCATACAGAGGTTGAATGGCGTAAAAAGTTTGTGTTGTCAGTGTGTCTGTCTGACAGGAGCTGAGGCTAATTCGATGTCAAGCTGCTTAAATGTGTTTGTTGTTGTACACAGATCAGACACTGTGGGGACAAGAGTGACAGAAATCATTTTTCACACTGATATTTATTTCATTACTGCAGCCTAATGGCTCAGCAAATCGTCTTTGTACTGTTGGAGGGAGAGGGTATTGTGTTGGGGGGAATCATGACCACTCTCCTTGAGGAGAAATTACCCAATGTAAAGCTATAATGTTTCACATTACAAGGCACCCTGATGTTTGCAGTGTGGTGTGGATGTGATGCAACTGGCAGTTTGACTGTTTTAGGTACGGTCGTTGGGAAACAAAATCATCTGTAGCCCAAGCTGTTTCAGTAAGTTGGGAGGAAATGTAAACTCAAAGAGCCTCATTAAGTAAGAAAGTTATCCCCTTCATATTGTTATGCACTTTTAAACGGTTTCATTCTTTTAAAGAGAATCCAGAAAAGTCCAACACTGTAGTTTCTATTTCAGTGAAAATCTAATTTCAGCTTTATTTAAAGATCGTGCTTAAATTTGACTCAGGGGTTGGTTTTAAATGCTTTGAATTGAAGGTTCACCACACACCGAGCCACAATGGAGACTCATTAAAGGGCGAAAAAAAGCAAGAAATCACCCTGACGTCTCACCAGCAACCAATTTCTACACCACTGGCCAATGTCTCAATTATGAAATGTTCCAGTGCAAGAAAGAAAGAAGTCTCAGTTGTCACAGTGTTTCATATTGACATCCATCACTCTCTATGTATTCTGCACAGGCCTCACGCCATAGCTGTCTGTCAGCCAAGTAGAAACACTAAACAAACACAGAACAATGACAAGACCACTGCGGATTTAAGAGAGAGAGTAGGGGGAAAAAAAAGAACCAGAAAGAGAGAAGAAAGTGTGTCAAAGAATAAAAAGAGACAAGACAGTATGTAATGCATGTAATCACTGGTATTCAGAATCTGTGTAGCGGTTTACTGAATATCAATAAATGCAGGAAAGATATTGCTTCTAAGAGCATTTTATTAAGTAATGTTTATTAAGTGGTTCAGTGAGGTAGAGCTGACTTTGTGACTGTGCCATTATCCTGAAGGTCTGGAGTCTGATCCGCATGGTGAAGCCCAGATGGAACAACAATACCAGCACTGCTGCTGTTATTATTCCCCCCCATCATTCACTGTATTTGGAGAATTGTGCACACAGTGGAGATGACACTGTGCTGCAGATGCAGAGAGGAGAACATGTGGGATCATACAGACTTCACTGTCACTCAGAAACACAGTGTCTGCTGCTTCAACCTAAACAGACATCACAGTTGGGTTTATACCAACACCACTGAAGGTGTGGTGGAGCTGCAACACTTAGTAAAATCATCTATTAATTGATCAATAGCAAATTCATTCTTAACAATTTTTGAAGCCTGTCTGTCTCCAGCTACTCAGAAATGAGAATGTGACGCTTTTCTTTGTCATGTAGGATAAAAGATATGATTAAATTTGAATGGCTTTGGTTTTTATATTAGATGAATAAGAAAATTGGTTTAAATTAGTCTGTTATTATAATTATAATGGGTTCTCTTTAGTATTTTCTGACACTGTATTGACATAATTGATTATATGAGAAAGTAAAATCACTAATATAATAATGAAAGTCAGTAGTGAAACAACTGTTGCATCCTTGGTGTTTTAGATCTAGACTCTCTTAGAGTAGCCAAGACAGTAATTAGAGCTGAGTAAAACTGCACTGCACTATAAAAAGTGATCTTGATTCAATTAACTCTAATAGCATTATAAAACATAACAATGAAGCTTGGTTTTTATTTTTTACATATTTATTTATCCTTAAGTAAGAAATCTGCATTATTCTCCTGAAGGATAATTAGCAGAAATATGGAAGTAAATCTACAGTAAATGAAAACATAGGGTGGCCAAACTGATGAATTACATGGAAAAATAAAAGTGAACTCTTTAGTGTTGGACTCCCAAGTGCTTCCTGTGAATCTCTACACTATTTTAGGCACTTGTCAGGCTGTCATATCTCTGATGTGAGAAAGCTTTAATAACAGCTTTCTAAGTCCATTTTCAGCAGTATGGTTGAAAAGCCTGGGGCATTTAGAACAAACTGTCAAGAGCCAATTAATTAGGTTTAATTAGAGAAGCCAGTAACATTACCTTGTATCTCAGCATCTGCTTTCCTAAAGGAAATTCTCCTTTTAGGTCAATTTAAATAGTAAAGGCAAATATTTGAATGTAGGAATGACTTGTTGTGTTGTAAAAGTGAGTGTACACACACACACACACACACACACACACACACACATGTGCACACTTTGTTTTCTCTTCTAATGAAGAACAATAAAATGTTTGCATGTGTCTTATTGCTCTGTGGTTTACTATTTCCTGACGAGGTCTTTGGCTCTGAGCCATGCCCACTTGCCCGGACATGTGGTCTCCATGGCAGCTCAATGGGTTACACAGTAAACACCTCAAAGTAAATGACCAAACTTGATTTAATCCGCTAGGAATCCCTTTCTCAACTTCTCAACTAGTTATATCCTGTTTCAAAACTTGAAACACCTTGTTTGCAGTTGAGTAATGCAAATTATTTGGTGAATGTTCCGTGTTCAGATTCAATGGTAATTTAGCTCTTTTGGTTTAGAAATTTAATGCGAGTGGCATGGCAGGGTGACAGTAGGCTGAGCAGATATTTTACTTACCTAAAAGTATGAATACTACTGTATTGATACTCTCAGTTACAAGTAAAAGTCATGCATACAACAATTTCAGTTAAATAACAAAGTATTAGCATCAAAATACACATTAAGCACCAATAGCAAAAAATACTCATTATGTCCACTAATGTGTTAATGTATCGTTACAATATTTACAATTATACACTGTATATAAATGGTGCAAGTTCTGGAAATTAATCCAAAGCCATGCAACATGAGACTTAAAGGCAAACCACTCTGCTCCACATTAACATTTGTTTTGGAGCATAATGTTCAACTAAAACATAGAATTAAAGCTTTGTGGTTGTATGCTTCTGTTGACCAGTCAAATTCGTGGAAATGTCATAGACATGAGGTCACTGACCTTGACCTTTGACCTCTGACCACCAAAATCCAATTTGTTCATCCGTGTGTCCAAATAGACACTTGTGCCAAATCTAAACAAATTCCCACAAGGCGTTCCTGACATATCGTGGTAATTCTTGTTATTGATTGTATTTGTATGATTAATCTGAATCTACCAAATAGCTAAAGTTTTCAAAAAAGGTAAAAGCCTAATCCATTGTCATGTCCAGGAGAGGTGCTCTTCTACCCTGTGATGTAATCATTTTGGTTACCACTTTGCCACAGCTGGTGGTGAGGGTCTGCATTCCCAAAGGCAGTGCCATCATTCTCTTCCTATAAAGAGTGGCCAATCTCATTTAAATTAGCGATGAGAAAGTGTGCTTAACTGCAGGAATCTCTGAGTCATTTACAAGTGTGAATAAAAAGAATCAAAAGATTGACTGTTTGACAGACTTCAGCAGTGCACATTTTGCTTTGGACGCCTGTCAGAAAGAAAAGCTGCCAAGCCACAGATCTGTCAGCTCGGCAGATAGTATTCACTCCAAATCTCTCTTGTTCAAGTGATTGATAGAATGAGATCGTAATCA